ATTTTATGTGAGCCGCCCTGAGTCCCCTCAGGGAAAAGGGCGGCCTACAAATATTAATAAAATCTCAAAAAAAAAAAATCTCAAAAATCTCAAGAAGCAAGCCTATAAGCAGGAATTGTAGCATAAATAGCAAAAGGCTGACCTTAATCATTGCTACAAAAGGCATAACCCTTTTCATGTATTTTTTCAGTTCTGGCAAGGAGCTGAGTTCAGTGGCAATTATTTTGTTGTCTGGAAGCTGTCCTCCATTGGTCTACAACAAAAAACAAACAACACCCAATTATTCTTCTATTGACAGTTCTATAGGAAAAGCAAGCACAAATACCCCTCAATTGGATCTTTTATTTATTTTACCTTCACCAGTCTTATTATTGTACCGAGTTCTGAAGCTCAATGAAGTGCAGATAATCTACTTCATAGGTGTCAAAGTCGCAGCATCATGTTGCCATCATGTGACATATCAAGACGTTTTCCCTTTTCGTGGAGCTGGGGTGGGCATGGCCAGTGCATGACACATCCGGCCCACAGGCCACCAGTTTGACACCCCTGATCTACTTCCTCCAAGACTTTCTGAAGCTATCACCCACTATCTTCTCCATAATCTTCCCCCAAAAGAGAAGGTTGGGAGAACAGTCAAAACAATGTTCTCATTTGTTTCTACAATTATCTGCTAACCTTTCTATTTGCTTAAACATAATTGTAGATCCCTTTTCCCCCTGAAGAACTGCTTCACCCCAATTTTAAATGCTGCTATTTAAAAGTTATTCTTTAATTAGTTCAGAAGACCACTGGGAACCCCTCTATCCTGCTAAGCCATGTTTCTATATGTAGCCATGCTCTAAATATCACACCTTGCTCAAAATCATTTAGGACAGCTATTCCCTCGGGCTGTCACAATTTGTGGTCCACCGAGCAGAACACAGCTGAGTAATCACACCCAGCCTGCTGAGCTGTCCACAAAGATATCAAGAGGGCTCCTGATTCTTGCTGGCTACCTGAACTACAAAAACAAAGGAAAGGGAAACAATTGGCTGTCAAAAGATACGATAGCCTACGATGCCATGTTGACAGCCTGAATTGGGCTTGCAGGATCTTAAGCTGCAAAAGAAAGAAAATTCTGTTCCAGGCATCACTTTTGAATACTACATCCATAACTCACTTTTCTCTGCCAGATAGAGTTGCAGCAAAAAAAGTAGATTATTTCAAGCTAACAAAGCAAGCTGTCTGGAAAAATCCAATCCTATTCTCCAAGACTGTGCTGCCAAAATGTGGGGGCACGGAAGCAAATTTCCTTCTTCTTTTTCCCTCTAAAGCAAAGTATAGTGTACCCCCACTAGTCTAAGGATACTTCTATTATATTGCCACTTCACAAATCCTAAATATTATTCCTGCAACGGTTTGCAACTGTCCTTACTGCAATAACCTAGAACTCCAAGTAAGGCAACTCACATGTTCTCTAACCAATCTAGGCAGAAGTGCAAAAGATCTCCCACCATCGCTAGTGGCCTCTCCTTTGTTCCATTTAGTATTGTGGTAAAAATAAAATATGCGGCTAATAAGTAAATAAAACGAGGCATAAGGATAGCTAATGGTCTTGCTTTTTTCTGCAGGTATTTATGTATTGCATTTCTTTCCCTCCACGTTCAAATAACTTTCAGTTTTTATTATCATTTAATAATTAATAACAATTAATTACTACTTTAATTAGTTATTTATTTCAGGTTATGTAAACATCCAAGAAGGCTTGCAATAAAGCAAAACACAAAGCATGACGGGGCAAGCAAGTTAAATTCATACCACTAAAGTCAATTAAAAGTTAAAATCCTGGCAAATAAGCAATGTTTTTTTCTATTTTCCTAAAGATTTATTTAGACTGATTCTGGATGTGTATAATTAGCATGCTGGTTTTTAACCCATGTTTTATTTATGGTCCCCGTTTGCATAAACAGGAGGTTAAAAATATTTGAAGCCACGAGAGAAATTTAGGCAGGATAATCACCTGATAATGTTTTCGTAGAACCGACAGTGTGATGTGCTGCCACGGAGGGTAGTTCTTGGCCACATAAATGGTGCAGTGGGATGGCTTCTGTGGTATTTCTTTGTTGCCCTTCTAGAAAACAGCAAGGAAAGTCTTGCTTAGCAAAATGCGTGAAACTTTCAAACAATAACTGCAGAAAAAAGGACATGGATACTTACTTTTCCTTTTCCTGGTGCCATGTAGTTTTTTAGACGCAGACGGAGATCATGGGCTACTTCTGTCAGATACTGGGAAGACTGGACAAGGATTTCATCTACTACCCCAGGCACAGGCCAGGAAGCCTTCATGATGGATTCAGCCTTTATAGTTAACACATACGGATTGGGGGTGAAGAATCTGATGCAATATTCCCATCATTCTGCAATATACAATCCCTCCCTCGTTCGCCAGTGAATGAAAAGCAGTACCTTGCCCAACAAGCTCCAAATATATTCACACACATGAGGGCAGATTGGAGCTAGCAGGAGAGTCTGTGATTCAATAAACTGGAACACCAATTCTCGGTGCATTCCTTCTACGGCAAGTTCCCGGTACTTGTCTTTCGCTGCCTGAAAGAGAGCCAGCAAAAGCACCGTTAAAACTATTTTAACTGTCAATGGAAAACATGGCATAAAAGACCATTTCCTTCCTTGTAAACCACTTATATGCCCAAAGTAGATTATTAAAAGGGAATGATTTAATTTTGCAGACCCAACCACTAGCTGGAATTAGAACCAAATAACAGCCTGCCAGTTTGATATTACATAGCTTTATATTATGAAGGTTTCTGAAAGAGAAGTGGATCACCATAGACATAAAAGTCAAGGATAACTGCAATGGTATACTATGTACTATTATTTTGAATCGCCCAATATCAGAAACTACTGTAAAGAAGTGTGGAAAATAGAAGCAATAAATATAATCTATTATTATGCCTGGAGAGTTCAGAGAGCTGAACCATAGCCTTGGAATGGGGTTGTGCAAAGGAGTCAGGGCACATTATTACCAGCTATTGTGTATATATTGGGGAACTGCTGACACCTCATGGACAATTATGAAAAACGTTCTCCTTCTTATGAGCAATTGAAAGCAGAATACCATTTTTTTTATCCATTTGTCTTTTGATATTTTTTTATAAATAACCATTTTCTTTAATTATTTGGCCTCTTATTTTTTTTCCTCTTTCAATTCTAATTGCCAATCTGATCATAATAATTCTAATTTATTTAGATTTAATTAAGTCTAATTTATTTATACTGTCCCATTTAGCACAATTCTTAATCTCTGCTCCTTAACATTGAGGATAGATCATTCTCAAAAAGGCTATAATTCAGCAGTCGGTTATGTTTAAAGTCCAAAGTCAATCTTTGCATTTCCCATTTAGTCAGGGTTCTGCAATCTTCTTTCAGATGAGTTTAGCAATCTCCTAAAATACACACACTTTTATTTTACAGCACGTTGGGATGCTATCGGAGCATGAAAAATGAGGTTGGATGGCTTCACAAAGCCCATGGAGAACAAGATAGGAGAGAAACTGGGAAGGTAAAGATTGCCCCGCTAGAGCTCTTCATAGGTTGTGGCCTGCTTAAGTTCTGCTAAGCTGAAGCTGGTCCCCATAAATTCCATTATATGATTGCTGGATACAAAGGGAATACTCTCCTGGGATTGCTGTTGGCAGGTTGATTCCAAAAAGGGCTCCTTCTTCGGGATGGCCAATTGTTTTATCTTCACATACGAGTATAGAGAAATAGGGAAGGAAATGCTACAGTCTTCTGGTTTTATTAATGGTGACAATGTTATAGAATAGCATTGTGGGGGAGAAGGGGTAGGAACATGGCCTTAGAATAAATACCAATATAACAACTGACAGGAGGAAACATGGTAATGTACTGCAATTTGACCATGTAAGAAAAGACAGTCTGGTTAGCTGTTGATTGGCCCTTTTTCTTTTCAGATTGCAATCTACACAATAAAGTCAAGGTGATTGGGAAGATGAGCTTTCCAACATAAAATGACATGTTAGTTACTGGTAAAACATCTCATAGCAGCACAACTGAATTCACAGGATAGAGGTTCAGTGGTCTAAAATTTCATCTTCCAAAAGTGCTCTGGTTCTTCACACTTCTGCCTCTACCTCCTGCTCCATATAGTAGTGTCAAGATAGCTCTCACTGCCCGCAATTATCTTTTAAGGATTACCTCACTTGGCATCCAGCCTCTAATCTGCCATACCAAAAAGACAGAGCTCCCACCACCTGTGTTGCTTTTCTGGCCAACTGAAAGCAGAGAGCGGATGAAAAGTATTCTATAGCACCACCTCCTGGCCCTGTAGTACTGAGGCAGCTTTCTTCCCCCTCGCCTTTATGATAGACTCATCTCACAATATTTTTAAAAAAATCAAACTTTTTTTTTTTTAAAGATAGAATGTGAAAATCTGTAATGTCTGTAATTTGTAGCTTTTAGTAATCAAAGGGAAAAAAACCCATTCAAATGCATAAACATTATCATTGGAAGTGTTCTTTCTTTTAAATGCTATTTTATACTGGTTTGTTTTAACATACTATTAATACATGGCTTACATTTCTTGAAATTTACTTTGACATCATTTGTGGTAGAAAGCAGAATCAAATGTTTAATAATCTACATTCTGAAGAACAAGTACCCTTACCTGAAATTCAAAGAATCCAGTTTTAAGAGCTTCCTTAAACATCATCTTCTCATAGTTTTGTTCTGTCTTTATTATGCCTGCATTCATTTCACTAAGGGAGAAGAAAGCTAGAATTAGAATAGAAATGGAATTAAATCCAAGGTTTTGTGACAGAATCCTATAAAACTGCCATAAAGTAAATCAGATCATGCAATACTACCACAGGACCATGCAAGATTGCCATAAAACATTAATTTTTATTATTATTTTTTTAGAAAATGTAGTTTCCCTTAAGCAAACAAGTTGACCCTTCCTCAAGGATACCTGGCAAAGACCCTGTCGTTGTAGGTTCTGGCAGGCCCGCTTCTTAAACTGTCCCAGTTAGCAAGCATTTCTTTCACCCATTCCACCCATGTATAGAGGCGGAGAATGCCAGCATCTGCCATGGATTCCACAAAGTTTGCATCTTCAACAGTATCCCCTGCGTCAGCCAGCGCCAGCCGCATGCCTGAAAGGGAAAGAGGTTTCACTTTCTAAAGCAACAGCAAAAGACACACAGACCAACAGCTGGGAGGCACCACTCTTGCTGTGAAAGCATTCAAAGGAGGCATTTTTTTCAACTCAATTTATATAAGTAAAGCATCCCCTATTTAATGCCACCAAAATCACTTCATTCACTGTGCTGTTCCCAGGCTTTCTCTATGCTTGCATGAACACACAAGCAACCGTTTCCTTAGGATTACCAATGAAACAAAGTGGTTTGTACATCCTAAAGCACACACATGGGCAACTGGGAAAAGTAGCGACCTCAGATCTTCTAGAACAGGGCTGTCAAACTCCTGGCCCGTGGCCATGCCCAGTTTAGCAAAGGTGGGGGGGGGGAGTGACGACACCATGATGACGTTGAGTTTGACACCCCCGTTCTAGAGGATGTGGCTCTGTCACTCTGCAATACAGCGTAAGTATTTTTATTGGGAAGGAACACCAGAACTTAAAGCAATTATAAAAATGTGATTTTTGATTTGTTAAATTTCCAATAGGTTATGCATTTAAGTTTTTCATATGCTGATCAACAAGGTTTTCTCTTTTAAAAACAGGGAAGGCTGTTTGACTAGATAAACTGTTATAAAATTGGTAATATAAACTCTATTATAAGATAGACATTATTGATATATTATACAGCCAAGCAGAGTTTTCAAAATTCAAACATAATCCAATGTGTCTCCTTACCATCAGCTGAAAATTTATCTATAGCTTGACTCAAAGTAAGAAAATTGCCTGTAGATTTAGACATCTGTTAACAAAATCAGGAGAGAAAAATATAAATAAGCATATTTAAAAGATGGTCTGTCTATGAGAATCAGACCCAAAATTTAAATCTAATGGGGGCAAAGAAAGAGAAGTATATTTTTATCTGTTAGCTATTAAAAACACTGCTAAATCTGCTATCAACCTAGACAAAATACAAGATAAACGTGCAAATATCACCTAGCTGCCCCCAACAAATCTTGGAAACCCCTCGTTGATTCTTCGGTGAGGGAAACTATCGAAAAATCTCAGCGCTATAAATCAAATCACGAACTCTGTAGACTAAACTGGGGAAAAAGACACCAAAATATTTTAGAAGACAATGACAACCTATTTTGGCTGTGATGTCTATAAACAAACATGGGTGGGTCCATGTAGTCACTAGGAATCAAACTCAACTTTAGAAAGTTTTCTCAATCCCAGCTGTTCGTACTATGTGTATTAATATAAGTTCTATTTCAATAGTCAATAGAAACTTCAATCTTCTTTGTGCAAGTTTCTGAAAACAACTTTCTTATGAAATTGTATTTGTCAAAAGTTATTCTAAGAGCATAGTTAGAGAAACCAAGATTTCAATAAGCTTCAAAAACAGAAAAGGGCCACAAATATATATTTGATACGCACTACAAAATATCAGTTTGGATTATTAAAAATCAAATGTGTGTTTGTGTGTGTGTGTGTGTGTGTGTGTGTGTGTGTGTATGTATGTATGTATGTGTATGTGTATGTGT